GGGGGGGGCCCTTGGGAATGTCTGTCTCCAGCTGGAATGGGCTGGTCTGGCTGCGAGGGAATGATCCACCGGAGGAGAACCTGGGGTGTGCTCACACATTCTCAGCAGCAGGCAACAGGAAGGCCCCGGGGACCATCAGGTGGAGCTTCCGGCTTCGACTCGACCCAGCCCTCAGCCCTGGCCAAGAGGGAGGTGCAGAAATGCCAAGCACACTGAGTGGAGAAGGTGGACAGCCGGAGACTGCTGTGGGGCAGGCGGGAGGTGACTCTCAGCGGGGCGGCGAGGGAGAGCCTGGGCGCCCGGCTGCGGTGTGGGGGCCGGACAGAAGTGCGCACAGCCCGCGCCTGCGAGAGCATGTCGATGGTGGAGCCACGGGGGCCTCTGTGTGGCCCGAAGCCCATCGTGGGCCCATGCGCCATCCCTCTCGAGCTCCTCGGCTGCTCCCTCTTCTCTCCGTATTTCTCCTCCAGTTGTGTCTCTTTTGGAACGGGACAGTTCTCTCTCCCTGGGACTCCTGCCCCTCATTAAGGAGTCTTAGAGGACAGTTTGGCCTTCTCCAAAGTCATCCTGTCTTTCATGGTTCATTAAATCAACCACACAGGGAGTGCGCCGCAATGCTGGACTTGTGGTTATTTTTCATGTAATAAATAAAGATTCCTTTGTGTGACTCTCTGGGGCCTGTCCCAGGCCAAGTCCTTCTGGTGCTCAGTTGCTCCCACTGTCCCCATAGCAACTACAGATGGTCAAAGGCCGTGGCGGTGGTGGGTGGCGCACTTGGCCTTGATGTGGAACTGTAATAATATGGGGAACCTGGACATGTTAAAAAAAAAAAAATAACAAAAACACTGCTGGTCAAAAAGGGGAAATTGCACCATAGCCTCTCCTGCATCTGCTAACCTTGAAGACAACACAAGTTAATCATCTACCCCTCCGGCCTATCTGATCATCAAAGATTAACTCCTCTCTGGCCCTATTTCCTCCTTCTCTGGCCTCACCTTTGGGTTTCTGGCCAGAATGAGAACTATGGCTCCTTGCCCCTGCTCCCATGATTGCTTTGACCTTCAACACCCTCGTTTCAGGGAGAGGGCAATTGAAAGCAGTTACATCTGGAACCCTGAAGAACCAAGCACACTAGGGGATCCCTAGGGCCTTCCCCAACCTTACCCGAACAGTGCGAGGTCAGAGAATCTTCCTCTTAAGGCCCAGAAGGACTAGAATCCTGACTGGCCAAGGGGAATGTGCATTTGAGGGCCTCCATGGGGAGGCTCTGTCCACCTGCAGGATGGGCAGCCCAGGCGAGCTTGCAGGGAGGTGCCCTGCCCCCTGGCCCAGCTCGGCACCCTCATCCTTTCTGGTGAAGTTGAACAGAAAGGTGGCTTGGAGTTGAACCCATCTGGCAAAGAGAGCCCCGGTGAGCCACCCTCCCGGTCATTGTTGGAATGCCAGGAGGTAATGGTGGGGGGGGGCGGCGCTTAGGAAATGGATGGTCTTGCCAGGCCTGTGATGGTGCCCACGGGGTGGGCCACACTTGCTTCACCGCTCCTCTTGGGCTCAGGTTTGCTCTGAGCCTCTCAAGGTCATCGCTCAGGGAGACTCTCGGGGACTTCCTCAAGTTCCCCATTTATGGGGCTTGGTTTCCTAAAAAGCTTCTCTACCCAGCCCATGGCCCAGGGCAAGAGACGGGTGAAGAGTAGCCTGTAGCTCACTCTCTGGACCTCCCCCCTGAAGGGTGTCCACATCTCAAGCCAAATACTGGGAACGTGAGCAAAGGATCCCCATGTAAGGGTTTTGGTGCCAAGTAATGAGCCCCAGTGCGCCGCTGAGATGGTTAATGTGCACGACAGGATGGCCTCGTTTGCCCAAGGCCTGAGCCCCAAATCTTACACAAAACAGATTTCCGACACATGGCCTCAGGCAGTAGGAGGGAGAATGACTCAGAGACGTCTCCCGGCTTGTGTGCTCTCCCTGCGAACATCCAGGGGCTCAGCCTTCCCTCCCCGTGCTTGGCCCGCCAAGAACACCTGTCTCCCCAAGCCCTCGGTCTAACCTGGGCCTCCCGGCTGCCTTTCCGGCGGACTTTTGGCCCAGCCTTGTACCCCAACCCTGCCCCACGCAGCAGAGGGCCTAGGTGGCCCCGAGGGGACTTACTCAGCAAGCCAGAGTTGGGGAAGCGCCAGGCCTCGCCGTAGGAGGAGTAGGGGGTGTGGCCGTAGGCATTGCCGGAGTACTCACTTCCTGTTGGAGGCACACAGGTGAGAGGCCTGTGAGGTGGACACACCAGTGTAGGCCTGGGGGTGGGGGGGAAGGGTCTGCAGGGCTGGCACTGGGTGAGCTCTGGGGGACAGGGGGAGCCAGGGAGAGCCGGGGCAGGGACAAGGTGAGCTCAGAGGCCCCGCAACCCACCCTTTGGGGGCCCCTCAGTCTGCATCATTTCGGACAGGGCCCTTTCTTGCCAGGTACCTGAGGCACTGCCCTGACGAGCTCAGTCCTCCCAGCTACCCCAGGAGGGAGATGGTATTATAAGGCCCACTTTCCAGGTAAGGAAGCTAAGGCTTGGAGATCTGCAGAAGCTCATGTGGCCAAAGGGTTGGGTGGTGTTTGGAAGGTGTGCTGTGATTCCAGGGCCCAGGTTCTAGCCACTTTTCCTGCGGCCCGGACCTTCGACAGAAGGCCGTTCCAGCAGGGGCCGAAGGGAGTGAGAGGGGTCAGAAACAGCCATAGAAAGAATCAGGTTGTATAGGCTTTTTAGCATCCTTAGGTCTGAGTTTGTGAGGGACGGGGGTGAGGCGGTGGCAGGGAGGGGAGGGGGTGCTGAGTGAGGATTAGGGGAAGGAGCAGAGGGAGGAGCCCTGCAGGGCACCAACCTCTTTGGGGAATCTGTCCTGGGACTTGCTCTGAGGATGTCCGCGTCCCATATTCCAAGTCTGCCACTTGAAGCAAACTCAGTGCATGAATCGAAACAAAGTAAATCAGATCACTTCCTTCAGTGAGGGGATTCTTAGCTTTACCAAAGGAATGGTTTACCAAAGAAATCACATAAGGATTCCCCTAAACAAGAGCAACAAACCCAAGGAGCCCACTCCGTTACCGTTGGTACTGGGTACTCGGTACTCGGCAGGGAGCTTAAAGTCTGCAAAACACTTTTCCACACCCTCAGCCCTTTTATCCTCGCGAGCATCCTATGAAGCACCCATTAATACCGCCAATTTATAGGAGAGGAAGTTGGAGTGCAGCGGGATTAAGCAGTTTGCCTCAAATCACAGCGTTGGTAAATGGCAGAGCAGAACTTGACCTTAGGGCTCTTAACTCTGAATTCCAGATAATCCCTTTATGTGCTCTGGAGCCAATTCCCTCTACAAAGCCAGGTCCCTGCCGACCGGGCCATCGCCCCTATGTCCGTGCTGCCTTTCAAAACCTCATCTGCTGTTGGGAGCTAAGTGCCTTCTGTGGCTCCCGGTCTCTTTGACAGACTCTGGAAGGGAAGCTTGAAACTGCCTGGCTCTCGAGCTGGCCTGCCTGGAGTCAAATCTGTGCTCCCCACTCCCCAGCTGTGTACCCTTGGACCAGTCACTTCACCTCTTGGAGCCTTGATTTCCTCATCTGTAAAATGGGGTGAATTACTGTCCCTATCTCATGGGGTTTAGGGAGGATTAAATTAGGTAATATCCATTGAATGGTGAGTCCCACACTTGCTATATAAGACACACTCAGGAAATGCTAGCTTTTATTATTTTCCCATTAAGCAGGTGCTAGAATAAAGTTCAACAGAGGATCCCAAATGAAGAAACTGCTCCCCAGCGAGGGAAAGACATTTACCCCAGGTCCCGTGTTCAGTTAGAGCCTGCGCTAGAACCGTGGCCCCCTCGCTCCTATTCCAGGGCTCTTCCTTGTATCCCACAATGCTAAATGTTCCCCACTTACTGCTGGTGTACCCCAGAACTGCCTGGTTTCAGAGCACCCTAGGGGGAAGCCAGGGCCCCCGTGCCTTTCCTTCCACCCGGTGCCAAACACCGCTGGCTCCGAAGCATGAGGAAGAGAGGTGGAAAGTACACAATGCCTCCTCTCTCGTTTTGTCACTTATTCATGCATTTCACCCACTCACACACTTGCTCACTTATTGAACACACATTCACCAAGTACCTACGTGCTTCAGACACACGAAGTTGGCGTAGGGCTTGGGGCTCAGGAGGTGGCACACCCTGGCTGGGCGCAGCATTTCCCCACCACCAGATCTGTCCACCTGCCCGCAGCCGCGTGGATAAAATGTCCCTGCACCCACAGAAGGCCAACCCATCCTCTTTGCTCTGCATCCCACCCCACTCACCTCTCCAAGGTCTTGGCCCCTACAGTCTATCCCTTCTTTTTCGATCTCTCCCTTCCTAATTTACCACTCCCTCCAGCCAGCAAACATGTTCTGCCATCTTCTCTTTTCCAAATCGTTTTTCTGCCCCACCTCCGGCTACCAGCCCCTTTCTGTGCTTCCTGGTCTCTGCCCTCACCTCCTCATTCCCATCCACTCGGGCCAGTGCAGAGCCCCTGAAATCCCACAACTTCCACCCTGATCATTCCAATGGTCACTTCTATGCCCACTCCCACCCCCCTCCCCCAACCTCCTAGCCGACTGTGATTCAGGTCATCGCTCCTTCTAATGTCTTTGGGTTTCGTGATGCCTTTGCTGCCGGATCCACTGTCCTCTCCCACTCACTCTCTTTGCTGGTTTCTTCTCTGCTCGAGCTCTAAATGCCCAAGGCTTGGTTTGTGAGCCTTCTGTGACTTTCCATCCACATTCTCTTTCTAGATCTTGTCTAATCCCTTGGCATTAAATAACAGCTCAGTACAATGGCTGAAATTTATGCCCTAGCCAGAATTCTTTCCTGACTTCAGACATATATCATGTGCCTACTGACTTATTAAACTGGGTATTTGGAGGTGTCTCAATCCTCTTATGGCCAATAGAACTCTTGATTTCCACCCGCCACATGCTCTACCTCTCCTGGTCTCCCACATTTTTACTTGCGACCACCACCAGTCATGCATTTTCCCAAGCCCCAAGCCTAGGAGTCATCCTCGTAGCCTCTGTTTTGGAAGCCCTACAGCCAAATCACCAGTAAGTACTGTTGGCTGTACCACTAACATATCCTCAGTGTCTCTTTTCTCCTCCCTCACTTCCAACCCCCCAGCTCAAGCCACCGTCATGTCTTTTTTTTTTTTTTAAAGATTTTATTTTATTTATTTATTTATTTGCGAGAGAGAATGAGAGAC